TATCTTAATATTACAAAGTTTTGGGTAAAATAGATAATTGAAATTTTTAAATTTTTAAATTTCCGGTCAAAAGAAAAGCTCCTAAAATTTTCCATACATGATGTTAGTGATAATGTTCAGAACCTAACCAACCTTTAAACTATGTACCGGATTACAAGTGGAAAAGATTTCTTTCTCATGCAATTGATGCTTAAAATACTGAAACTCAAGTAGTGGAATGAAAGAAACCACCCAAATTTCTAGGTATCATAAGTAGTTTAACAAAAGAATCAAACTATAATAAGTTCGCCTAGAGATTTCTACTTTCAAGTGATGACTTTAGCTTAATTTTCCTATTCTAATTCATACAATAGTTTCCTTACCTATGGCCTCTTAAATTTCCTATCATCTTGCCACCCTCTGATTCACAAGATCAGTTTCTGTTAGGGCAAGCCCGTGCCCACACCGTTCGAACCGCCTTATGCAACCTTGCATTAGGAATTTCTCCCCATGAAATAAAGCACATAAGCAGGGAGATATTCTCAATGCAAGGCTGTAAGGGCTGTTTGAATGGGCTTTGCCCTGACCCAAGCCAAATTCTTGATTCACAAAATGTTGTTTACCTGCATATCTTATTAAGGCCATGTCTGGGAGTGCTTAAAAAATAAGTCCGGGTAAATTGTTGAAACCTCCCCCTGATAGCGATTTAAACGGATTGGATTGGATTCGAATCAGGATCAAGGTTTAAAGTATCGATACGATATGAGTTTCGGTCGTATCGTATCGGTATTTAGAAATGGCCGAAACACTTATTTTTTTTTAGTTTTTTTTTCAAACTTTAGTTTTTTGGAAAGATTATAGGCTGTTTTTTATTATTAAAAAAAATAGGGGTACAAAATGCCTGTTTCCAGGTGTTTCGTATCATTTTTTAAAGATACGATACGATACGCCCGATACGGGGCATATCGTATCAATACTTTGAACCATGATCAGGATATATTTAAATCCGATCTAATAATAGAGTTTGAGATCTGATCTAATCAAAAGATCTAACAAGATCTCACAAATGGTGATTCGAATCTGAATCCATTAAAGATGTTGGATATTTAAACCTGATCTAATCCCATTTGAATTATGAAAAGGAAAAACATGAAAGTTTATTTAAAGAATAACAAAAAATATAAGTATTTTTTCAACTATTTTTATCATATATATTAATATATACTTTTTTTTATAAGTAAATGTTTATAAATATATACATATATATATAGGTCGGATCAGATCCTGTTGGGTCGAATACTGGGTGATTTGAATCCAAACTGAAAATACAGCAAAGAGGCTATCTGAATCTGACAAATATAGGATCAGATTTGGATTGGATCATGATCCGATCCATTTGCACCCCTATCCCCTAAAGTTTGATAACCTCTGAACTTTTTGACATAATTGCAAGCAAGATTCAAAATATCGATATGTCTGATACACTGGTAGAGGCATATCGGGCAGTATCGGTGGTCTTTTCTAGTTTTTTTTTTCAAATTGGTTCAAAGGGGTCGGTTTAAGGTCTATCCACCCCTAAACTGGTCAAAACCCCGATACACCCTCCATAGGGGCGTATCGGGAAGCTCCCAATATGTATCAATATTTTGAACCTTGGTTGCAAGTAAACCTCTTTGATTAGAATCCTTTGACAATAGATGAAATTGTCCAAAATACCCATACAATTACAATTGAGGCTAGTTTTTACCGAAAATAAATGCACAAGTTTTATGAATAACAACACAAAAAAACAAGAAATTAAACTTCTACCTTTACCTTTGAGCAATTGATATAAAGGGCAAGTTTAAAAAATAAATCAATTTCATAAAAAAGATTGGAAGGGCTTACGGTAGTAATTGATATGAAGAGAAATTTTGGAAAATTAACATTTTGGTAAAAAATAACTGCATGGATCTTTTGGACATTTTCATGTTTAACAGACAGGGTCTACTTGCAACTGTGTTAGAAAGTTCAGGGGAGGTGATTGCAATTACCAAATTTTAGAGAAGGTTTTAGTAATTTACCCTAAAAATCAGTGTTTTTGAATCCGTGTTGGCCCGGGTGGTCGGACTGTTTGGCCCAGGCAACTAGTACCGCTTTTACCCTTAACCCATTCCTTGGCCAAAAACCGTTGACTTTGATCAATGACCTAATGGCCCAAGTGGTTGAATCATCAACCCGTTTGATCCCAACAATGGTTTTGGCCATTTTTATTTTAATTATTTTTAATCTTTTTTTTAATTTAAAACAGATTGTCCATATGAAGCGGACAATTAAACTGCTGACTCAAAAACTAATGGCAAAACTAATTCCAATTTCGGATCAATTTTTAAAACATTGATAATAATAATAATAATAATAATAAAACGAAGAATGACGTTATGTATGTGAGGGGAAATATTAAGCCACAATGACGAGCAATATTGGTTATACCAGCAAGTTGGTTACTTTGATTCCAAGACTTGTCAATTTTGACTCTCATAATTTTACGAGTACACGCTACACTAAGTACTTAAGTAGTACACAGTAATCTTGGATTTGGAGTTTGGACATATCCACTCTAATACAATACAAAACCCCTTGTCAGGTAGGTGGCTTCTTGGGGGATGTTTCGGTGTGGATTTACCGATTTACCTTTCCCGGTCATACATGAGTTCATCATGTTTATGTAACCTGCAACGTAATTTGCATATTGCGTGTCATTTTCTATTTTTATTCCATCTCCATCATTTTCATCGTAATCATCATCATCATATGACATCAACTCCTATAACATCATCTTTTTCTTTTTCACCAGTCCTACCGTCGTCCTTCGTCATATTCCACCAAAACGGCAAAAACCAAACTTTGTCATGCATGTCTCTCACTAAACAATTTCGACAAGTATTTTCAATGCATGCTGAAATGTGCATATGGGGCGCAGATATGTGCTCTTGGATTAATATCAGCCATTTGATTCATCTTAATTAAATTGTGGGCCTTATCATCATACATACATCATATGGGTGAGAAAATGGGTAGATTCTATCTGGTACCACCAATTGAAGCCAATCTCGAATCAATCTTGGTAAGGTTTTCTTTGAGATTGACTATATGGATTTGAAATACCGAATGTTTATGATCAATTGGCCAATGTCAAAAAGCTTTGCGGGAAAAATAAAGAACAAGTTTCATAAATAAACTTTGGGGTCTACCTTGAAACCAAAATTGACAAGGTAGGGTGTAATTCAAAAAACATGAAACTCTAACCCCCTTTAGGGTAGATTCCTGATTCTGCTTTAGAACTGAACCAAAATGACCCATTCTAGCTCCTATATCTGTATTGTCAATCAATGATGACTATATATCTAAAGCCTAGTTCTCTTAACTTTATTAACAAATGCCCCCCAACTTTTAATTAAGCCTAGTTCACATTAATTAGTCAGTTTCCAGGAAAGCTTGAATTCTCACAACCCACATTAATTAAGTTGTTCACAGGAAAGCCTGACTTTGAGTTCTAAGTGTGAAGTTTTGGTGGCATGCGTATTTTGTCATTACATGCTTTAATTTGTCAAGTTTGAAAAAGTTGCATTTGATTGGGTCTAGGAGGTGAGACCCCCATTCTTCAATCTTCATTCATTCTACTATTTATTTTATTTTTATTTTTTTTAACCACTGTCCTTATAAAATAAAATAAACAGGCCGGATGTTGCTTGTTCCACAGAATTTGACTGTTGGACTCGGTAATATCGAAGAGTTCAGAGTTGTAATGACAAACTCAGAGTAGGAGTTGGAGCCACGCGTTTATTTTAATTGGTTATCTAATAGACAACATATAATTTCTAGGGGAAAGACATAAATAAATCATATGGAAGATGATGATATTCATATAAATATGACTTAATGATCCACCCAATTCTTTTTTTTCTTTCTTACCTTGAATACCTTGAAAAGGAGGAGGAGAAGAAGTCGTGTCTGAATGGTAATTACGGGGCAAGAATTGTGTAAGAGGTATGATTTGAGTAAGCCCACGCCCTTTATTTTGCCACATTCCTATCGACCGCCTACTAAATTAAATTAATGGTTTTTTGGTCCAAGATTGGTTTTTAGGTGAAATGGAATCGATTCTTGGGTCAACCAACTGATTTTACCATCCGGTCTGGTCCGATTTTCAAAACCATGGTAAGAACATTTTCGGTGAATTCAGCCTCTTTGCCTATTGGCATCACTTGAGCAGCTGAGCTGGCCACCTCAATCTTTGCACTATAATATTGTTTTGGGTTATTATACCCTAGGGAGTAGGGACAAAACGGCCTAGGCCTAATTAATTGTCCTCCTCATCTATCTATCCTTTATCTGGTCCACATGCTCTAATAAGTCTGAAGCTCTGTGTCCCTTGCCAACAGGCTTGGAAATACCAGCTTTTTGTCTTGTGTTGTGAGGTGTATTTAGTATTATTACTACAGGTGGTGTTGGCAGTGGCCAGGACTATGGCCCTATATCCTTTGGACGACTCTAGAAATGTTGGAAATGGAGGGAAGACTGTGGTTACGTGGAGAGGATACTATTGTACTCGTCGCTAATCTACGTCTTTTCTTTGAATTGGTAATACCCAGCAGGAAAATTACCTAATTTTATTTCTGTGCTATGAGATCACATTGTGGGGCGGAGATGTGAGCTCCTGTGGGCTATACGTGTGTATGAAGAACTCAACAACTCCTGTGGGCTATATAGCAAGCAGCTAGAGGTAGCGCACCGCGTTGCTTCCAAAGCTAGATCAGAAGCCAAGCGTGTTTTCACTATTCCCAGCAAGCAACGCGCGGGTATTTGCGATTGCGACTCAGGCGCTCAGCCCCTGTCCGAGCCTTTGGTTGTTTCCCTTCCCAAACCGTTATTACTTAATACACACACATATTGACTTTATCAAAAAATTTAAAAATTTAAAAAAACGGTTACACAGGGATGATGACAATGATGGATGATGGACCGCGGAACGTATACAGTCAACTCAATGGCTGGGTCAAGGTGACGTCTGACGAGTAAATCCAAATCCCAATTAATCACAGTGGTGTGGACAGACAGGGCCCATTCCCATTCCTGATTCCTCTCAATCCAAAGAAAAAGTTCAGAAAACATGAAGCTGCCTCTTAATTTCCTTCTCTCCCTATTTAATCCCTGTGGTGATTTCGCCATGGCCACCAAATCAATAGCCATAGCAGACACAGAGACACAGAGACACAGAGAGTTCGTCAGTACCTGCTCGTCCCCCAATTTGATTATTCAATTTAACCCTCTCTGCTCTGCTGCAGCCTCAAGAATTCCGGAGTTTCACATTACCTTTCAAGCGACCCCAGCTGCTTACTTGTTTCTTCTTCTTCTTTCAGTATTCACCACAACTTCGAAAGACGATTGAATCAATATTGTTGATGCCGAGGAAAGGAATGCGCACCGTCTTCTTCTCTTCCTCCAAGGATTCATCCCCATCCCCTTCTCTCTCAAGCCGCCCTTCCACTCCCCTCCACTCCTTATCCGAAACCATGATCGCCGAGAACCTCCAAGTTGCAGAGTCTGTCATCACTAAATGGGATCCTAACTCTTCCACCTGTGCCAAAGTCACCTCTCTCTTCTACGAGAGCCGAACCGAAGCCATGGAGTTCCTCAAATCTGTCAAGGATTTGCAGAGATCCATGTATTGCCTCCTCTCCCACCACTCCTCTTCTCATCTGCTCGTCCGCGCCCAGACCCTCATGCAGATTGCCATAAAAAGGCTTGAGAAGGAATTCTTTCAGATTCTCTCCGCCAATCGCGACCATCTCGACCCTGAATCCATTTCTGGTCGTTCCTCCCTCTCCACTGCTTCCAGCACTTCTGATCACGACGACGGCTCCGAAGACGATCTCCAACTCACCACCGACTCTATCTCAGAGGTCGAGCAAGCCTCCACTGTCGCCATGTCCGACCTTAGGTCTATTGCCGAGTGTATGATCTCTTCTGGTTACGGTAGCGAGTGCGTCAGGATCTACAAGGTCGTCAGAAAATCGATCGTCGACGAAGGCCTTTACCGTCTCGGTATCGAGCAGCTCAGCTCCTCTCAAATCCATAAAATGGACTGGGAGGTTCTCGAGCTCAAGATAAAAAATTGGCTCAACGCTATCAGGGTCGCAGTGAAGACTCTCTTCTCTGGCGAGAGAATTCTTTGCGATTACGTCTTCTCCACCTCCCAGTCAATCAGAGAATCTTGTTTCTCGGAAATTTGCAGAGAAGGGGCCATCCATCTCTTCGGGTTCGCCGAGTCCGTCGCAAAAAGCAAGAGATCCTCTGAAAAGATGTTCCGGTTTCTCGACCTCTACGACGCTATCTCTAATCTCTGGCCCGAGATCGAAACAATATTTTTCTTCGAGTCGACCGCCGCAGTAAGATCACAAGCCCTCTCCTCACTCATCAGACTCGGTGACGCGGTGAGAGCGATGCTATCGGACTTCGAATCGGCAATTCAGAAGGATCCAGCGAGATCCTCTGTTCCTGGTGGTGGACTGCACCCTCTTACTCGATACGTGATGAACTACTTGAGCTTATTGGCCGATTACAGTGGAAGTCTTTCCGATATCATTGCCAATGGACCTGCGCCGGTACAATCTCCACTTCCAGAGTCTTACTACTCGAGCCCAAGCTGGGTGGATAACCAGTCATCGGCGATTTCCGTCCGATTGGTATGGATCATACTGGTCGTCCTTTGCAAACTCGATGGTAAGGCCGAGTTGTACAAGGATGTCTCTCTATCATATCTCTTCCTGGCTAACAATCTCCAATACGTCGTGTCAAAGGTACGCACGTCGAATCTTCGGTACCTCCTGGGGGAGGACTGGATAAGCAATCACGAGGCAATGGTAAAACAATACGCCGCAAGTTACGAACGAATGGGGTGGAACAACGTGTTCTCAGCGTTGCCTGAAAATCCGGGCGCAGTGGCGTCGAAGGAGGAGGCGAAGGAGCATTTCAAGAGGTTTAGTTCAGCTTTCGAAGAAGCTTACCGGAAGCAGTCGTCGTGGGTTGTAACGGACGGGAGACTAAGGGACGAGATAAAGTTGTCCATCGCCAAGAAACTGGTACCGGCGTATCGGGAGCTTTACGACAGATATCGGATAGCGCTGAGCGATGAAAAGAATGTACACGGTGTGGTCAGATTTGCCCCAGATGATTTGGGGAATTACCTATCGGATCTGTTTTACGGGACGGGAGCATCAGGAAGTACTTCGTCGTCGTCCTCCTCTCGTTCCCGTGGGTGGCGTTCTCAATGAGACGGGGCGATTTTTTTTTCCGGTTCTAAACCGACCGTCAGTCTCTGAGTCTGAGGGTTTTTTTGACTTTTTCTTCTTTTTTCAGGAATCGGTCTTTTACCGGCATTTTATTTTTATTTATTATTTATTTTACTGTAAATAACAAAGAAAATAAAATGCCGGCGAGTTTTTTCTTTTTCAAATGATGTATAAATGACAATATAGAGACGATACGACATAGACTATTAGATTTCAGAGGTTGACTTGCTATACAGTTCCTAGCGAATCCAACTTACCGCCTCTGCCGTGGGTACAGTGTTCAGAGGTTTGAAACGCTATTGAAAGAAAACCGGTCGGCCGGCAGGCGGAAAGAGAGAGTTGATAACGAAACAATCTCAAATAATATAGTTGAATAGTGAAGACAAGAACATTATTGCATTTGGAATTGTAGTTTGTCGCTCTTATCTTCTTTTCGTCAAGCAATCTAGTCGTAACGTAATTATCGATTGCTAACGCTAAGGATTTAATCGGAGAAGAAAAGAAAGTCAATAAAACTCTAATTTGTTACGTAATCAAGACCGCGAGGATGCTGGGCAATCTATATTACAACACAACGAGAGAATCCCATTTATAATTTGTTAACGGTGAGAATGACTGTTCAGCCCAGGGTCAGTATTTGTAGGCTGAAAGTACATTTGGGTAACTCAGAATTGATGTCAATTCATCGGAGGAAGATATGGGTGCATAGTGTGGGTTTTTACCTTTTGAATGTTTATAGTTGTGCATTGGAAATCATAAATTTGTATTGGGTCTATCGTACTTCTCCAAAAATTTTATTATTTTCATGATTGGATATTGATGCCGCCTTAAAGTGGTGGAGCTCGGTGATATCCTGTAGAAGGAAACAAGAGAGCATGTGGTGATATCTTGATCTTGTAACTCCCACGATCAAATTAGTATCGAGTGTTTAGAGATGGTTGAGAATTCAGGAATTCATAAAGTATCAATTAAATGTTCACCCGCCCCTTAAATAGGTTTCGGTATACCTATCAGGATGTATATGTGTTGCGAAAATGTAGAACACTTGTTGTAGTCTTGGAACACCTGAAGGTTGCTTTGCCTTGGTGGAGCTCGGGTAAGACACCTGGAGCTTTATCAAGACAACTGTTACTCGAGCTTGGCCACATAATGCTCGACCTAGACACATGTGGCACAGTTCAAGCTAACCAGTATCCAACCGAGACACCTGGAGCCCAATTGGTGCGACAAGCATTAGCCACTTGGTGTATGGCTGTGACATGCAATGTCGATCTGTCTTCCATGTCTTCAGTGCATGTGGTGGGCCCAAGATTGGTTACTAAGCAAGTTTACCTCACGTGTCAATGATCTTGTTGCATGTACTGCTAGGTAGTCACTCAATGGGCAAATGTGAAGCACTCCATATGGGAGCTTGTCTTAATAGGAAGATCTCTTCGGAGGTTGGAGGGTGGTGAAGCCCATATATCCGAGCAGAAGCTGAGGAGTCCAAGGTGAATCTTATCCTTTGAAATGGCAACAAGACGATGTTCTTCAAGCTAAAGGCAAGGTCATTAGTTCACTCAAATGTGCCACGTGTTCAAATTCGGAGGTCGGATTTATACTCATCAAATATGTTGTCTTAAATCCCCGCATGTTCATTACCCCACCTGTTATATTCCTAATTAGTGGGACCCGTGCAATGCATGGATTTTGTTAAGTGAAAGTTAAACAATAGAAATATATAAGAGTATATAATTGTTTTATCTTTTAACTTTTTAGTAATTAATCCAATTGAACTCGACCTAAGTTAGTCGGTTTCTAGTATTTCTGATCGGCATTAGTTTAACAATTTTCCAACTCAACTAAGTTAGGTCAGTTTCGGTTTGACCATTTGTAAACTGACTAAAATTGAACCGGCCCGACCATAGATATATATTAATAGTTTATATTTTAAATATAATTTTTTAATATGGGAAAATTCCCATATTTCTTAATCTAAAATATTTTATATCATAAATTTATTTTTTAATAATACCACTATAATTTATTAAATTTAAATTTAATTTTTAAGTTTAAATCTTTTGAACAAACAAACTAAATTGAAAATAGATCCAAACCAATACAACCCGAGTTCGTGGGCTTTCACTAATGGTCAATCGGTTTCAGGTGACAAACTCCCGACGTAACTATGTCAATTTGGTTCATGAAACAGCCTACAACCAAACTGAGAAATCATTGAACACTCTTAATTTCAGCTAAATTAATAGTCTAATTTATAATAAATAACAATAATTTAATCATCAATAATTATTGAAAATTTAATGCAAAATACAAAATTATTGAAAATAAATTTATAATGAAAATATAATAGATATCTAATAAAAATACAATAAATACTGAAAATCTATTAAATTAGTCAATAAATAGTGTAATGTCAAATAATAGTTTAATCTCTAATAAATATTAATTAATAAATTATAGAAGTGCAAATTTCTTAAACTACCCCAACTACTTAGCTAATTGACTAACTACACCCCTATTATTTAAATGTTGTCTTATACTACCCTTATTGTTCCAAACAATTACCATGGCCATTAAATCGTAACGGAAGGGTTGGAAATGTCCATTTTACCCTTAGGTAATTTTCTCTCTCCTTCTATCTTCCTCGTTGAATCGAGTTGAAATGACCCTATGTTATGGACACACCGCCCGGCAGCACACTGCGGCGCAATCATAGGCAGCAGCACGCACCGCCCGGCAGCGCCGCACAGCAGCCCGGCAGCGCACCGCAC